TAAAAAGGTTGCTTTTGTATTCAGAAGATTGGTGTTCTCAGGGAATTAGCTGAGAAAATCAAATAATTTAAACTTGAGCTAGGTTTGTCCAACCGTGCAACATTTGAAAACTTATGGAGGTATATTTAGGACAAATACAGACACAGGCATGCGTTGAAAGTAAAGAAGTTGAACTTAGAAGGGGATGTCAGTTTCAATTTTGAAATGTGGTAAAGGAACTTAGCTGAAAATGGTTCAACTGAGACTGAAGTAACTAACTTTTCGTTAAGTTGGCATGTCCTAAACAAACATTTTTAAAAGAAATACCGCAATACTTATTTTCTGATCTTACTTCTATGGATGGATATAAGAAGCCTTTTTTTACAATCAGTTTAGTTTTTGAGGTGCGCTTCTAGTTGGTTCTTGATCTCTGATTGGGCAAAGAAGCAAAATGCTCTAGAGTTACCCGGTAATAGTTTTGATACTCAAAACCTGCACAACTATTATCATTTTTAAACCCAAAGAAAATTAAATGTTTCATTTAGGGCGAATAAAAATTAATGTTAAATTTTTAACATTTGAGTTACAAAAAAGCACCAACAAAGCTTTAGTGCTAAAAATAGTTGAAATCGTTATTTTTTTTATTGCTAAAGTTTAGCAACAAGACATGGAAATGTCTGGTCTCATGAACAATATTACCAGTTACAGGTTCTAGGAAAAAGCAAAAATTATGTACATTAACAGATACAACTCAAAGTTAACGCAAAAAAAAACCTTGACTGCTTTACACTTGCGATGTTTATGTTTATGTTTATGTTCAACTTAATAAAATTCCTCCTGGAAGGTTGTGTTTCTGATTTCAGGGATTATTATTTTCGCCCAAAAATGCAAACTGCTTCCTCGAACCCCCCCCCCTCCCCCTCCTTATCTTACAACCACACAAAACTCCAATCCACACCAGTGTCTTGAGTAATAACGTTTGTTAGTATTAGTCAAAATATTTACAGGATAAATCTCACGAACTGCGCATGTGCGAGCCGAAGCACAATGCACATGCCCTTATTTGAATTTGGGTGTGAGGGGCAGGGGCTGTACTTCACAGGCTAGGTAAGGGTAGGCTTTTATTCGAGGCTGGACACTTATTAACTTTTTGCCTTTAGGATGGGGACTTACTCGAATTGGAGGCTTATTCGATTAAATACAGTATAATTCAAAAAAGAGCGGGAAGAGCGATTTTGACAGCGATATCCCGAGCATGCGCAGTTCACGAGACTACCCCTTTAAACTTACACGATGATAGTCATGATAGCCTTTCCAGGCATTCAATTAGTAGGGAGAGCGGCCTAACTGACCTGCCGGCGCTCCCCACTACTTGAACTCCTGGAACAGGCTGGCAAGATTGATATTCAATCATCCCATTGACAATTTCCACAGTTATTTAAAGAACCCCTTCAGCAATAAGGTGATTCAAAATGAGCTGCCTTATGGCGCCTCCTCCAAGGGCCACACCTTCATCATCATCATCATCGTACTGTCTGGGTGGATCGCATACATCCTCGTTGTAACTCTCACCTTGCATCTGACCAAAATTATGAAGAACACAGGCAGCTGTTATTGTTTGTGATACACTTTTGTAGTGTCGTTCATTTTTCTATGCTAGGATTCACCATCTTCTTTTCAGCATTCCAAAAGCTCTTTCTACTACCGCTCTCATGGCACTGAATTTCTCGTTAAATTTCTTTTCCTGTCACAAAAAATTTCCTCGAGTAGAGAGCGGCTTTAAGAGCCATCCAGAGAGGGGATATGCTCTATCACCTGCAAGCATTGGTCATACCTCAACACCTTGAATTATCTTTGTTGGCGATTTCAGAATCTCACCTTTTTCTTCAAGGTCTGCCAAACCACTTAGTCACAGAACCTTCGCGTTGTGGACGCTTCCTGGATAGCCAACAGAGATATGTCTAAACAACAATTTACTGTCAACAACCCCTTGAAGAACTAAACTGTAAAACTGTTTTCGATTATAATAATCTTTGTGGTTGTCAGAAGGTGCTCTTATCTCAATATCAGAGCCGTCAATGGCGCCTGCAATTGGGGAAAATGATATTTCCCCTCAAACCGATCCATTACCTCTTGCACCTCTTTATCAGTGTAAGGGAAACAAATGTAACTATTTTTCAGTCGACATAAGGCGCTTTCAAACTGGTCTGAGATTACCTTTACAGTCCACTCGCCAATAATAAATTGAAGTCCGCAAGATCTATACGTGTCCACGGTACGTTCCGTGGTTTCTGGATGACGGTGCGGGAAAAGTTGTCTTTGTCCTGCCGCGTAAGACCATAGAACAAACTAATTTAGGTGAGAATTTTGCAACGTATTGAGTAGTATACAAACTGTACTGTAAACGTTATTAGGTTTCCACAATGATTTTATACCAGTACGGCCAAAACCTTTCTTTTCTCCATTAGGGACTGGTCAAAAAGTATAGGGGGGGTGGGCCGGAGCAGAGAGGGGGTGGGTCATGAGGTTTTGAGCCTGGTGCAAGGAGTGGGTCGTGCAATTTTCAGCTAACCTTAGGGGGTGGGTCACCCTATTTTATAACATAGACGGGCACACATTTAAGTCTTGATATATAACACACAGCCAGCTGAAAATACTGCTAAAAATACTCTCAAATCTGTTGTGTCCTTTTTAAAATGCAATTTTAATAAAATGTACGATTTTTGTTTTTACATTTCATTGCTGTTTAAAATTCTGATACCTTAGTGTGGTCACGTATGTTGTAACTTGTTACATATATTCTTGAAAGAAAGCTAACAAAGAAACATGAGGTCCTATTTCTTTTCATAACAATAGGTATCAATATTATGACGGTTGAACAAGCCAAGTTTATGGAACAATATATTAACGGTGGTTTGTAAAATGGAAAAAACAAACGAACGAACAAAACAATCTGGATAGATACATGTAACACTGCCATGTAAAAGTTTCTGGTATTTTGAATACGTTTGTTAGGATTGTCTTGATATTTCTGCTGATTTTATAAATGACCGTTAACATATTGTTCCATAACCTCGGCTTGTTCAACCGTCATCATCTCTTGCTCTTCAAAATCTTCATCACTGCTCTCGTCACTTCTCTCTTCACTTCAGTGACTGCTTTCTTCATCTGTTCTTTCTCTACTGTCGTCCTCACTTTTGCTGAGATCCTCGGCTATTGCCTTTTTCACAACTGCCTTCAGGTTCTGAAGAAACTCGCTCCTAACGTTCTTCCGAAGTTTTTCGCTCCTGAGGATGGCTTTAATCCACTTAACTTGGCGAAGTTGGAGAAGCTCTACCTTGTTCAGGTCAAGATCGTCAACAACGCCACCGCTTTTGTATGAGGGAGAAATGCTAGAGAGTATCTTGTCAATGTTAACTGACATCCTTTTCATTTTCCTCGTCCTTGCCTTTGTTCTTCCTACTTTTACCCGCCTGCTGTTTGCTAAAAGGTTTCCTCTGGTCGTAAACTAATACAATTGATGGTGCTTTGTTATCAGGTCTAGTAACGTTTGCTTGATTTCTCGGGCCATTGCTTCATTCTCGCGAAGTGTCCCAAAACACTTCTCATGGAACTGGTGCGCACATTCGTTACCTGTCTTGAGTTTAGAAGTGGTCAGGGAAAATAGTAACGCGTTGGCATTTGAAATCACATTGCGAAATTTATTCGCGCTTAGTTCTATTTCTTCAACTGTTTTGAGATTATTTTGCAACATGGTAAGATCTTTTGGTTTCAATTTATAATTGCTTTTAAGAAATTTGCCGGCTGACGCAGGATTTTTTTCGCTACAGACATTTTCTAGCTTTTGAAATACTCGCTGTACACTCTTCCATATTTCATACTGCCGCCTTCCTTCAGCATGAAATTTCTTCACAAAGTCCTTTTGGTTCTTCGCAAATTTCCACTACGAGGCATAAAAAGCTGGCAACACTTCGTCATTCATGAATTCCGTCCTGTCAAGTTCTGCAAATGGAATGTAGCCATACTTCTTATCTTTTGCAGCCAAACGCCCTCTCTGTATTTCAGGTCTTCCTTGCGCTGGTTCGGGACTTACACGTAGGACAGTATTTCTGAGATGCAGGAAACGTCGAACTTCAATCTCTGTCATTCCTAATAAATAATAATATTAAAAAGAAAGATCACAGTCATGCCGAATTTTAGAACCCCTTTTCCAACGTTTTAGTGCTTGTTTTTTGTTTTCTATGATAAAACAGATTTTCTATGATAAAACAGAATTGGAAGTGTGTTAAGTGTGAAAAGGTGTTTTAAAAAAAGAAAGGCGCTATTAAGCGGAAATTGCGAATTTTGTCACCATTCTGTCAAACCTCTTACTCGGTACAAAATACTGAATTTAATCTTATCATAGCGAAAGCAGTCATCTCTTTCAACATCTTGAATGTGGTCAACCACCATGACACCATCGGAAGATAACTCGTCCTGGTACTGTGCAAGATCGGCAAAGTTAAGAAAACTCAAAACGGGATCTTCTTTTTTGATAGAGACTGCCTCGCCGTTCTCACACGCATTGGCAAGTATTTGCTCCCTCAGTCTAAGAAATCTTCAAATTTCCATCTGTCTAAAACCTAAAAATTGCAAACAGTGGGAAGAAAAGAAGAATCTATAGCTGTTTTATATTAACCAATATTCACTTTTTTGGAATAAACTCATCAGATAAAGATTTTGTGCACGGTTTTATGATATACCATATTCTAAAAAATCTTCTTCCTCTGCGTCTTTCAGATGACTAACTCTAGTAATGCCAGCTGTTATCAATACATTGCGATATGAGTGCGAAACATTTGCGTACTGTAAAAAGGTTGAAATGTCCCCATTTGGAGAAGGAGCATTGCCGGCATTCATTTTTTTTTTCTCAAGGAGCTAGACACGTGTTTTTTTCCGGTGGACTACACTCACAATGCGAACACGCTTCACTGAACAGCGGATTTCACGCTTCAGAACGCGCATGATTGTTGTGACACAACATGGCGACAGAACTCGTTGAGCTCAGAGATCAGGAGGAAGAATCCCCTGACTTTGCCCGTGATGGAGCTAGAGTTTCTTTTAATGTTGGGTGAGCAAAACGAAGAGCCGCAACCAGGAAACATAGCAATCTCTGGAGAAGAAGTTTACAAACCTGCCCTGTGGAAAGTAATGAAGAGAAGCTTGAGGGCTTGTTACACCACTATCGAAACAACAGGTCCAAATCGTGTATTATTGAGGGATTACTGTTTGTTCTCAGACAACTTTTGGCTCCAGTACATGAATCAGTCGATGTTGCTAGGAGGGCGTGGGGTTTCCTTAAATTTGAGGAAGCCTTCGGTATATTTGAGGGGGTTTTTGATCACGCAGTTGGAAAAGATGAATTCCAGGATCACCTTCTTCACCCAGAATATGGTCTACGAGTTAATGTCGCACAAGTCAACTCAAACAGGCAAGTTATTGTTTTAATATACTTCAAGAGATACGTGTTTACAATTTTTGTTGTTTGTTTTGAGTGTGAGAGGAAAACAAGAGCTCCATTTTCATTTATTTACTTATTTATTTTTATAGATTCTTGGTTTTGGAAAATGAATTCACTAACATCGGATGCTTTTTGAACGAGTTAATTCTTGATCAAGACACGCCTTGTTCATCTGAGCGACTAAAATTAACTGCTGATGTTCTTGAAAGTGTGCTTGCTTCAATGGATACGGAGTATGACCGCAATGCCTTGAAAAGAATCCTTTTTACCTTCTTGTCAAGGTCTGAAATTTATGCCTTAGGTGTCAAGCCTGACAGAGCTGTAAACTTTCTTTCAAAAACTTTGCAGGCTTCAGAAGAGGTTGAAAATGCACAAGTTGCAGCTGAAGACATGATTTTTTTAAGACTAATTGAGAGGAATGGCAAAATACAAGAGAAGATAAACGATATAGACAGAAAATTACAGAAAGAAGGAGATCTGTTGTCTGAAAAACGCAGAGCTGACATGATCCAACAAAAAGAAGTTTAGCTGGAGAGAAAAGAGCATGCAGAGAGTGTAAAAAATCAAAACACTGCCTCAGCCAAGAAGCATGTCGTCCAACAAAGAAAGAGACTAACCAGTTCCCTCATAGAAGAAAATAGGGTGAAAAAGCGCAAACGATCTTGTGGTGCACCATCTCTACTACATTCTGATGAGGAGGAGGCAATTGCTAAAGCCATTGAAGAAAAGTCGACAGCCCATGGTCGGAGGCATGATATGGTTCTATATACAAATCACCATGTCAAAAAGAAAGACTTTCTATCTTTGGCTAATTATTATCGACTTAAACAAGGGAAAAAGCTTATTAAAAGTGCAACAACAGTTTTGAACCGTGCAAGGCCAAGAAATGTGAGATCAATTGCTGCAAGAGCACATAAAGGAAAATGGTTGTTTTGTGCCAAAAAACCACCTAAAAGAGAGAACAATGAAAATGTGTGTACCAAACAACAGAGAAAGCAGTTTACCTCTATTTCTGTAGCAGTCCCCCTTGAGATACTCAAGATATAACTCCCCAACATGTACATGTGTCTTCAAGAATGCAGATATTTTGTTGAAGTATGCATGATCAGGCACACTTGACTTTTTGGATTCAGGGCATGCTGAAAACTTTGTCAAATACTCTGAATTGAAAAAAAATTGCTCATCTGCAATAAAAATTAAAGAATACAAATTTACAACTGTTGCAGTCCCAGAATTATTTATTTCAGTATCAAACTCAAAACACAGTTTGCCGCAAGTGTTTTAAGACAATACTTCCATTGTTATGAAAGTTAGAAGTTAAACAAATGGTGGATTAATATTAATGAATATTAAAAAAACAAACTTCATACAAGGGTTCCACAAGTGTACCTTAGCGACATGTCATCAGATGCCCATACACTCCCAGAACTACCAATGTAGAACTTTGGTCTCAACATCACAACAGTTTGATCAGTATCATTCACAGTACAGACTTTCCCTGTTGTTTTAATATAAAAGGATAGAACAATTAGGGGTTCAAATTCAGCCATACTTTAAAATGTTGAAATCAAGATTAATGCATTGTAATGTATTAGAAATTAAACAACTACAGGAACATGTGTACAATTATGCAGTCATGCATATCTTTTCAATTCCCTTGACATACACTGTGCTTTCCAGCAATATAGAATAAAATAATACTTACCATCAATTGTTTCAAGATGACCTGTCATAAAACGAGAACTAGCTGGGGTAATATGAACTTGAGGGACACTGAAGTCATGTTGAGGTAAGACTCTCTGCTTAGACTGGTCAGCTACATCAAATAGTCTGACGGCCTTGACATCCCTTGCACCAACTAAAAATACATTGCTTCACTTTTTAAAAATAGCATTACATAACTACTGCATCACAGATCAGCTTATCGCATATTGTAAAAAAAATATGATACTGACCAGTCAGTTGTCAGAGTTTGTACAGTTGTAATGGAAACCAACCATACAGTGCTATAAAAAGCTCTGATCAGTTGTGGAAAATGGCAACAATGTGAATGTCAAATTGGAAAACACAGCTAACATTTCAAGAATATCAACACTATTGCCTGGTGAAGACCTGCAGTGTGCAGTCAAAACGTCGCGATCAATATTAAAGTGACAATAGTGAGACAAACGATAAAACTATACAATACTTTTTTTTCTGCCCTCAATAATGGTGTGCACCAAGGGTGACAATGGCATAACAGTGATCAGAAAATTATTGGTTCTACAGTTTACATGTATTAACTCACCATCAGTTCCTGACCTCAGGTAGGCTTTGTCATCCATAGAGATCACCAAACCCTCTCCTTTGCAATTTCCACTAAACAAACTCAGTTTAACTTAGATTTGCAGTAGAGGTAGTGTACAAATATGAAATGTTGCATTTGACAGGATATTTATAAATATAAAAAGTACATCAATCTCGGGAAACCCAGTTGATGACTAATGTTACACTAAAATAAAATTAAGAAATGTTTTCTTTTTTCAGGTGTTCTCTGTGAGTTCTGTTCACAGACAAGTTTCCGAAACCCCTCTATCCAGAGGGCACCCAGGCCATATCCTAGTACCATGGACCTTCCACAACTACAGTACCTATCATACAATGAAACACCAGTTTTCACTGATGAAGAAAGAAACATTTATCGTCCACCAGATGACTTTCAACCCAGAGCACAGTTAAGGAAGCTGTTTGTTGCAGGTGGGTGATTGTCTTCCCAACACTTTGACATATCTTTAATAGTCACTTTTGTCCATGGGTGGGTGGGTGGGTGGGTGGATGGATGGATGGACAGATACATACATAGATACATACATAACACTAATGAGAAGTAGTTGGTTAATTATGAATTATTTATCTGCCCCCCTGTAGGTGAAATTTTACTAGAAAAAGAGAGCAGTATTCAAGCTTTTTCTGAGAAGTATGCAGTTGATCAACACCTGGTGGTCAAATACATGCATCATCTCACATACCTGGAAATGATGAAACAAAAGGGGGAAAGAGAAAGAAGAGAGAAGGCAGAAAGGGAGCAAAACCTGAGCTACGAGGATGTGGAGTGGAAGAAACTTCTTCGTGAGGATCTGCTAAAAAAGCAAAGAATCTCGGTCCTCAACCTGTATATTGGACACCACAATCTGTTACTGAAAAGAAATTGTCTAAAAAAGATAAGCTGAACGTAGTGTCAGCTCACATTCAGTTGTCAGCAGCCATACAAAGCGTCTCCACTAGAAAAGATGCAAGTGGCTCTGAAGCAAACAGCAGCTCAGAAGCAAGTGAAGAGAGTAGTGAGGACTATGTTGTGCAGGAATTTGGGAGTGCTTCCTCCGAGGATGATGAAGATGACAATATACCTCTTGCAAAACTGGCATCCAACAATTGCAATGACAGTGACAGTGACAGTGACAATGTCCCATTAAGTGTGCTCACCAAACACAGTATTTAATGTATTAATTTCTTTATCAAGCGAGGCAAGAGGCTAGAGATTTATGATTTTGTCATGCACAGAACAGGTTTTATTGGGTTTTTAAGAGGAAACCAATAATGCATGTTTTAATATTAGGGGGTGGGTCATGAAATTTCCAGCCTTGCTTTAGGGGTGGGTCAGTCATTTTTGTGCCGAAGGGAGGGGGTGGGCCATGTGTTTTTTATCAACCACATTTCCAAATGCTCCGGCCCACCCCCCAATACTTTTTGACCAGTCCC